TTCTTCATATTAACGTATGGCTATAGCTGAAGCTCCAGGAATAAACTAGTGTCATTATATGAGATTATACTTTAGAAATTTGGTCTGTAATCACCTGCACTTTTCTCACTGATGTTGCAGTTCTACACTCAATCTTAGCCAAAAGGCTAAGAAGCAACTGCAGTTCTCAATCCAAAGATACAAAAGACCTTATAAAACATCACTTAAGTAAGATTCACAGAAGAAAAATAAAAGACTAAGTTCGTCTAGTTCCCCATCATATCTCCAGTGCCCACCAATGAATGCCCTCCACACAATTTTACTGAGGGTTGATCATGTACCAGGCCCAGTGCTAGTAAGGCCATGGGAAATAGAATGGTCTCTGCCCTCAGAGACTAACACCATAAGGAAGACTTACCAGGAACCAGGAGGAAAAAAGGAATAGAAAATAGGCTAGTGTAATAACCTAAGACTTTGGGAAAGACAACATTTATTCTGGTCCCCCCAAATGGTCACACGATCACCTTCCTTCCAAAAGCTAGGACTCTGCCCAAATGTCACCCAACACTGGAAGGCCCTCTCACTCATAATATTAAGAAAGGTCACTCCATCGCCCATCACCCACGCTTCTGCTGCTCATTCTCCTTCCTTGTTATCTGATTTCTTCACAGCGTTCATCGTTCATCGCTGTCTGAAATTCTATTATTTACCTGTGGGGCTATCCCCTGCCATTAAAATGTAAGTTCCAACCCTTGGACCTGGTGGTACATGCCTGTAATCCTAGAAGTTAGGTTGAGGCAGGAGGATTACTACTGAGGTAGGATTTTGTGTTCAGAGCCAGCCTGAGCTGCATAGTGAGTTCGAGGCCAGCTGGAATTACATAATGGGACCTTGTCTCAACCCCTCCTCCCAAAAATGGGAAATTCCATGAGAGCAGAATCTCATCTGTCCTGTCAACTCCTCTGTTCATCAAGTATAGTAGTAGCTGGGACACAACAGACATTCGACAACATTTGTGGGAAGCAGGGACTTCCATCAGTGAAGTATATGTGAGGGATATACAGTTTTTGAGGCAGGGTCTCATTATGTTCAGGCTGGCCTTGAACTTGAGGTGATCCTCCTGCCTCAGCCTCCCAAGTACTGACTGGGATTACAGACATGCACCACCACACTGGATATTTATAGGAGATTCTTCTCACACAAAGAGCCTTAATACTTAAATACTTTAAAAATCAACTCATTCAACAACAACAAAAAAAAAAGTAAAGTTAGTTATAGGAATCAAATAACCACAGAATTCCGAAATCCATGTCACAAAGAAAACATTAATTAAGAAATGATGCCAGGAAAGGACTTTCATCCATTGCTCTTTTTATAATGCCTGTAAGTTATATAGCTTTTTTTGTAGAATGTTTTCTGATTGGTTGTAATTCAGTCAAAAAAAAGGCCAGCACAATTTAATTTCTGTGAAATTACAGCAGCTCTATTTTTCCCATGGTGCTGGGGCTCAAACCCAGGGCCTCATTCATGTTAGATAAGTTTGCCTTTGAGCCACAACTCCCACCATAAGGCAGCTACAGTGAACCCTCAAGTTATGACCAGCCTGACATACAGAACAACTTAGGATAATTAGGCTAACGGAAGATTCATCTGCCTCTTGTTATCTATACTGTATACCCAAGTAAACATCCAGATCTCAGCTAGACTGACTTACAACCAACTTGAGCTACACCAAGCCCTTGAGAACTGATCAAGTTCATAAGTCAAGGGACCATTGCATTTTGAAAAGGCTACTGGCAGAGCTGCGACAGAGTAATAAAATTACAGAGTGGCGTCACATAGTGAAACTTGCACGGCCAGTTCACTTAGGCTAACAAGACTGTAAATTCAGAACAAACCCTTCTTCACTGATACCCTCTGCAGGAGCCAGGCACAGTACCAGGTACATAGTAGTTACCTAACCAAGTTTTACTGAACTTTTCAATTGAAAAGTAATGTGCAAAGTCTACCAAACAACTAAAGATCCACCAAATTTTTAGGATGAAAAAGGTACATGGGGGGCCGTTGGGCTCCACACTGAACCAAGACAGCTGTCTAAAAAAAACAGCTACATAAAAAGGTGGTTTCTGGGCCTGGAGTTAGCTCAGTGATGCCATGCATGCTTGAAAGCACAAGGTCCTGAGTTTGATCCCAGTACCACACACACACGCACACACACACACACAAACTGGATCTAGCTACATTATTAACTTTTACTCCTCCAAATCCTATTCAGAACTGGGAGGTACAATCAATCTTGGAATTCTTCCAAATAAGAGGAATCTAGTTAGTCCTGATCAATAAATGGCAGGCTAACAGATGAGCTCACGGGCTCTTTTATGTGCTTCTTTTTGCCTATTTATTTTCTGCAGCGACCAAGTGCTGCTTTTGTAAAAATTAAACCCCACAAAGCTTTCATTAAAAAAATAATGACAAGAAAGCAGAAAAGTAGGACAACTATTATTTTACCCCCTTTCTCTAAACAGTAACAGCGCCGTGTTTATGCACTGATTCAATTGGCAGGGAACAACTGCTTAGCAGATGCCTCGCTCAGATGTGCTCCAGTCACAGATAAGGTGCTTTCCATTGTAAACAAGCCTCTGGAGTCAGCTGGCCCTCAGTAACTGCTTCACAGGGATTAAGCATTCAGGCAGAGCCTTGTGGCCCCATTTCAGAAGCCTGCAGAGGACTTTCCTGCCCTGCTGGGCCAGCTGGACTGGATCAAGGATGTGCATGCATTTTTTAGTGAGGACCCTTAGATTCTCCCATCCAAGGAGGACCTTGCGGAGCTTCAGATTATGAGTTCTATCTAGTGGTAGTTACTGTATTCAAAATGAAAACTGAGACATGAATACAACACAAGAGCACCAGCGGCGGCAGGGTGGTGATGTCATCACACATTATGTGGCTTCTGGCAAACTTCACTGCATGCTGGTAAAAGAGTTGGAGTGTAAAGGGCAAATACCTTCTCAGTATTGTTCTGAAGAGTTTTGATCTCACAGGCCCCAGAAAAGGTCCTGGAGCATTAGAGGGCTGGATAAGCAAGATCTGTTTCAACACCATGGTCCTCAAGCAGGGGACCTCAAGCTTGACACTACTGACATTTTGTTAAAAGGGGCTGTCCTGTACTTGCAGGAAGTTGAGCAGTCTCATTGGCCTCCTACCTACCAGATGCCAAGAGCACCCCGCCCCCATGTTGCGACAACCAAAACTATGTTCAGACATTCCCAAATATCTCCTGGTTGAGGACCAGGGTGCACCACTATTCTACTGAAATGTTTATTATAAAATATTTACCTCCCATTGCCTTCTCAGCCCCCTAATATGCCTATTTCCTCCCTCCTCCCACCTAGACCTATTCTTTCTGTGCTTTTAAGTCACAAACAGCAAGAGCCAGTGGGTAATAAACACAGGATGAATGAGGTCAGGAAGACACGTTCTGGTCAAAGTTCGCCTTTAGACATTAAAGCTGTTAGGGATCCAGTCTACTGGGGCAGAGCACAGTGGACATTAATCCAGCCGTTCTCCCAATGTAATAACAATCCAATCCTTGAGAAGTGATGTACTTACTCCAGAAAAAAATAGGCAACATCCGAATAAATGTATGGCGGGAAGAAAGCAAAACCTCCCATCTGGAAAACGTTCCCCAGATGCTTCAGTGCCTAGCTGAAAGCAGCAGGGTTTATAGAAAATCTATTATAGCCAGGTGTGGTGGCGCACGCCTGTAATCCCAGCACTCGGGAGGCTGAGGCAGGAGGATCACTGTGAGTTGGAGACCAGCCTGGGCTACATAGTGAGTTCCAGGTCAGTCTCAACTACGTAGTGAGACCCTGTGTCAAAAAAACAACAAAAGAAAAAAAAGAAAACCTATATCAACACTTCCAAGTCAGATATTCACTCCCCATCAAAGTTCTCACTTGTTCCTTTAGTCTGCAAAGACCGAGACCAAGTTTTCTCTAATGACAATCGTCCCCAGCCATCCAGGTCCCATCACCCTCAAAACTCTGAGGAGGGCTAGGGATTTGGCTCAGTGGCACCGCGCCTGCCTCGCAAACACAAGGTCTTGAGTTCGATCCCCGGAAACAAAACAAAAAAACTCTGACTAGCAAATTCAAATCCTGCACCGTTCCGTTTCTTATCTCATTCGTCATCCTTTCTTCACAGCCTCAAATTTCTTCCTACAAACAGGGTGTGGTGGCGCATGCCTATAATCTCAGTGCTCAAGAGGCTGAGGCAGGAGGAGGACTGCAGTGAGTTCAAGGGCAGCCTGAACTACATAGTGAGACCCTATCTCAAAAAATTTTTTTTCCTTCCCACAAACCCTCATAAAAACCGGAGTGTGGTGCCACGTGCCTATTAATCCCAGAATTCGCCTGTAATCCCAGCACTCGGAAGGCTCAGGCAGGAGGGTCACCAAGAGTTCGAGGCCAGCCTGAACTACAAAATGAGTTCGAGGCCAGCACAGCGAAACCCTGTCTTTAAAAAATAATAATTAAAAAAAAAAAACAAGGCATCACTGTCGCGGCGCCTCAGGTTCTACTGTCCTAGACGCCCCCACCCCCACGCGGTTTCACGCCGGTGGTCTTCTGTCCCAGTTTTTCCTCCACCATCTTCGAAACTCTTCCCGGCTTCCAGGAAACCAAGGCTCCCCCAGGGTTCTGCCGCTCCCGAATCCGCACGTACTGCCCGGCCCTACTCGCTCCTCAGCGCGTGCCCCAAGTAACTCCTTCTTCGCCGGCCTCGTCCTCCCTGGCGTCCGCCCCGACCTGCCCCTAGCAACTCTCGCGGGCCCCCTCTCCCGCCACCCCTCTCTCAGGCCTTCTCCAGGTCGCCGCTCATCCCCCCGGGGCAGCGACACCGCCCAGTGTCAGCCGCTGAGCCTCGGAAGCCCGGTCCCGGACCCGTCTTTCAGGTTGTGTGGCCTCTGAAGCAGCGCCCCGGGCCCAGGCTGAGAGTCGAATCCGGAGGGCCCGACAACTCACCCAGGACTAAGCAGACGAGAACGAGCGCCAAGCCCGGAACGAGGGAGAAGCGGAAGCACACCATGATCCCGCAGGGCAAAAGCGGCGAGAGCAGCAATACCAGCGACGCGGTTCAAGGGAGCCGGTGCCAAAACTCCGATGACCACCGACTACGGCGCCGTAAAAGCCAGGACTAGCCGCTCCGGCCCCAGTCATAAGATCAGGGGCGGGGTTCGGCCTCGCCGCCAGCCAATCGGCGAGTTGGAAAACGGGAGAGGGGGGTGATGCGGGGGGGAAGTGGGCGGGGCAATCACGCCCTGGCTTTTTGTTTCACCACCATTATTAAGTTCCTAAGAGATGTGCTCGGGAGGCATTTTCTGAGGCTTTGAAGATGAACTTTTGAAGGCTGTAGATATATTATTTCTGTTCTGGCTCCTTAAGGAAGAGGAGAATAATTCTCCTGACGTAAAAATGGTTAGGTATCTCAACATAATACATGCAAAATAATACATGATTCTTCGCCAAACGTCGTTGCTACCTAGTCAGTTCAAGTTTAAATGGGCCAGGGAGCTAGGGGGTGGTATGGAGCCGGAGCAGGCAGTGATCTCCAAGTTCACGAAGTTATAACACTGAATTTCTCATATGGGGAAATTGAACTCAGAAGGAGGAAGTGTCTTTTTTTAAAAAATACAGGAAGGAAAAAGGGGGGAGAAATAAAATAGAAGGATAAAGAGAAAAAAATAAAGGTCATCCCCTCAAAGAGAGACCCTATCGGCCAGGTGCGGTGGTGCATGCTTATAATCCCAACACTCCTGAGGCTGAGGCAGGAGGATTGCTGTGATTTGGGAGGCAGGAAGAGAGAGAGGGAGAGGGGGTGGGGGGG